AATTTTCTGTAACATCCTGCACCGGCGTGGCCTTGGGGTTGTACACCACAAAAAATTGAACTTCGTTTGCTATATAGACAGAATTATAGTATGTATGGCTAAAGGAATAGAGCCCATATGAAAGAAAATATTTTAACAAATTAAAGAACTTTCAATACAAGCCATTAAATTGTTTTAAATTATAAAACAATTCGGAACAGTTCGATTTTGACGTTCCATATACGTGTAATGTTGCACGCGGAATAAAACAGGGATTCTACAAATTAAGTCGATGTCGATTATAGGAGGACATTTATTAGATTCCTTAATGCATTTAATGCGTCATCAACAATTGTAAAGAACTGACAATTGTACATACTTACTGTATACATGTAAACTAAAACTAAAACACTAAAACTTAAAACTAAAATTGATCAAATTCATTAAACGCATTGTTTTTTATTGCATTGTTTGTTAAAGCAAATAGACAAACCCAATTTACATTTTGTTCCTTTTAAGTCCAGGGAATAAAAAAGGAGCAGTTTTGGGGCGTAGTATTGTCTCACTTGTCTTTTGATTAACCGATATAACCCACTAATTGCATCTGGATCATTAGAGGCATAGGGATGACGTGCCAACTGCGGCACGCTTGAAAAATTTTTAAATTGAAAATAAATATCTCGAAAATAGACCGAAAACTGCGCTGCCTATAAAAAGAATTTGACATTTCTGTAAGGTGGGTACGAACTGAGTATTTGTTTAGTGCTATGGTGTGGGCGGATAATAATGATGTGAATGACGAAAACATGCCAAGACCTTTGATGATCTGCTTAGAAAATAGTTTGGAACAGCGCCAGATTCAATTTTGTCAATTAGTAAACGTCTGTAGGTGCAACTTCATAAGGTTGCATACATACACGCATATAAACACGCAGAGACACGATTCTGATGTAAATGTATGCTGTTGAAACTGTACATGAACATGTCACCACTTTTGTATATATGTATTAAATAATTTGTATTTAATTTAATTAATATAATTTTTTAAAATTAGTTAAAATTTATTTTTTTAAGTTTTTCTTTTTCGTGGGAGGTACAGGGTATTTAAGAGTTGAGCTCGACTTTAGCATTCCTTTCTTGTTTTATACTCTGTAAATGAAATGTACAGGATATTGTATTGTATTGTATTGATATTAGGTTTGCGGGAGCTGAAAAATGTAACAGGCAGAAGGAGGCGTGGCAGACCTCACAAAGTATATATATTCTTGATCACCATGACAAGACGAGTCGATCTAGCCCTGCCTGTCTGTCAGTCTGTCCGTCTGTCCGTCCGTATGAACACCTGGATCTCAGAGACTATAAGAGATAGACACACCAAATTTTGCACAAATATGCCTTATGTGTGTACGCTTTCCCCCTACGGGTGTTTTGCCGATTTTCCATTCGTATAATCGCCTATATGTCGGAGACTATAAGACCTAGGGACACCAAATTTTAGTCCAAGATGCCTTATGTGAATACGCAGAAAATTTGTATTTTGGAATTTCCCTCCCGTAATTCTTGGAATTTCGAACTCAAATTTTGCAAATACCCCCAGTTAGTGCTTATATGTCCGAATGTCCGTTTCACTATGATAGACCGATTTAACAAGAAGTTATAGCCATAAATATATTTTCTGCCCAAGCGCTGCCCGCAGCTGTTGTTAATGCTAGTGCTTTGGTTGACTGCAAACATGTTCACACAGGCACGAATAGACGCGCATAGCCATTCATAGACACTCACATAGACGAAATTGCATATGTACAGAGTATTTCAAAGTCGGAACACCCGGCTTTAGCTTTTTTACTTGTTTTATAGTTGTTAATTAAATATATGTTTAATGGAAAACAAAACAGACTTCCTGAAAATGGCAAGATATGGTCGAATAGTTTTGCTTAAGTTATTCGACTGGAATAAGAACAACAATAACAGCTCGCAAACGCAACACAAGGATAATCACAAAGGGGCCGAAAATAAAAAAAAGACTTACAAATAAATGCGACATCGTATGTTAAAGTAATTGCATTTTTAACCACAAGAGCCTTCGATCGAATCGAAAACAACAAATACGCAAAACTCAGCAGATATTGATTAACAGCAACAAGCGTTGCGCGATTTTCTGGTAACGTTTTTCCGATTTCCCTATCGTGAGCGCGCAACGTAACTTGTTTCGTGCCAGCCAATCAATGGAGCATAATGTTAATATTATTTATGTATAGTATGTACCTACCTACATACTTGTAACTCATGGAAGCAAGCGAGCATTAACAACTAAAACAAAAGCAACTTGAATCAACGGGGTGCAGAAGTGGGGAACAAGTGTTTGTGCAGCGGTCGGCCAGTGCAAAAAATTATAATTGCATTTGGAGTAAGGAAAATTGCCTTGTTGCTTGGTCTAAAGCAAGAAACATGAATGAAGAAGGTACATACATACATACATACATTGCGAGTATTAAGTCGCACTAAGTTGGCTTGAGAGTAGGCGGCACTATGTTCTCGTATAGTGTATACAAATATTTGCATTGGCACTAGACGATGCAGATAAAAAGGCGGGCGACGAACGATGGGGACCATAATTAAAAATCCCTCGATGTTAGTGCCATGACAGAAAACACATTTGCATGAAATCTGAGCTATATCTCTGCATTATCTCTAGCTTCTGTTGCTGCCATTCTCATTTTGTTTTTATGAATGGATGCGGTTTCATTAGTCTCTAAAAATATAAGAAGCGGTAGGGTAGGGAAATGCAGTAAGAAATAAATTGCTGTTGATTTGAAAATCACAATTTGTTCGGTTGTAGCCTTCACGTGTGTACCCTGTGCCTAGGGTTAAACGATATACTAGCTTAGTCCGAATCTTTGCTGCACACATAAGGAGGCGTGGCTGACCCCACAAAGCAATACATATACTCTGGATAAGTGTGTGAAGACGAAGCGTTATAGTCGGGTCCGTCCGCCACTGTCTGTGTTAACGCAAGGATTTTGGAAAGTATAAGAGCTAGACCTTTGTATTACTATTTGCTGAGCAGATAAAGTTTGTGACTTTTCCTGGAGGAGGTCTGATGCCTCCTAGCTAATGATTTGTCTACTTCTATAATTATTGGAACTGTGGAAATTTGACAATGGTCTGATGATTCAATTGGTTATAAGGTTTTAGCCTTTAGCGTAATGTTCGATAACTTTTCGTCGTAATTCCCAAATTTCAAATTTTCGACCTAAGAGGTTGAAAAGACAAAAAAGGGTTAGAGCTGTAGTGAATTAAATGATTTAATTATGATTAGCCGTTGCCTAAAAAATTTACCGCTAACTTGCTCATTATTATAAGTTAGTCTGTCAACGACGAATGGCGGAGGTGGAAGATGCGGAACAGTACGAAGTAAAAGAAAAATTGGTGTGCGCGTATTGACACGAAGAAAAATCATTCAACATTTTTTCTACAATTCCCGCACAGCATACATTTGGGCCTATGCTTCGGCATAGAAACTTTTTCCATGAAATTCGAAAAATGTAAATATAAATCGGTCGGGTTTGCCGAGGTGCGAGATTTGAATTCAGCCACAGCCTAACTGCATTTGTATTTGTATTATGAGTTATTGTGGGAGTCTATCGGCAGACTCTACGGGTGCCGGGCTGTTCCACATTTGTTTACAACTGGGCATGGTTGAGTTTTCATGCAGCGCCCGAGACAAATGGGAAAGTGTTAGTGCGAAAGAAATGTTTTTGTTTATATATTTTGACAAGACTCGCTGTTGGAAAAGTACGTACCGTTTGCAAGGCATTTGGTCTACTGGAACTTGTAAGCATTAAGTACTCACTTCGTAGGAGAGTATATCCGAGAGTAAAACATTGTATTTGTAAAATATCCATACTCGTATCTAATTCAGTTAGCATAGTTAGCACATACATATCAAAAAATGGAAATATTGATTAAATAATGCACGATGCGTTAAAATTAAATTTTTTGCATATGATCAACAGAAAAACTTCAAAAAATCCAATCTTTTGTACGCCCCTGGCTACTTGCCACATTTATGGCTATAACTTCCTTTAGAATTCCCCAATCATGATGAATTTAGAATCTTTAAAACAGCATGTAATTGCACACAATTCCAGGAATTCTGGATAATGACTAACACCGGGGATTGGTGGTGTGCTTATAAAATTTACAAACTTGTACTTTCTTGGACTTAAGAGAACTCGGATTCCAAGAATTTCGGAAAGTATAAGACCTAGACCCATAATTCCTAAACATTGTATTTATATTTTCAAAGGCCCTCAGCAAGGGAATTTTGTGTTATCCTTTTGCTATACCCCCACCTTTCCATACACCACGGTTATACTTAAATATTCCAAAGCCCATCTACTTATAGGAATATTAGATTCGATTAGTGAGGTAGTTCAATTCTAAAGAAATTAATAGAAGTATATAGTTATAAATGAAATTTCTGGCACCAGCTGTTAGTGTTGCTGCTGCATTGATTCAACACAGTGAGGCAAAAAAACATGACCACAAACCCGAAACTAATTTATACAATTGAATGTGTATCAATAAATGTATATATGCGTGTGTTTAATATTAACTGTTAGATTACTTCCAATTAATTAAATACATTTTTGTTGAAGAGGGTACAGAGTTTTTAAGACATGAGTGGGCACAACCCCTGCATTTCCACCTTCTTTTGGTCGTGTATGGATATATTGAAAGATTCGTTAATATTTCCAAATTTTATTAACCAGAAGTTTTGAATTAAAATTGGGACAAAATGAGGTTGAAACTTGTTAGTTACAGGACAAGATATCTAGCCGTCCATTATTTGGCTATGTACTACTATGGGGTGTTTTTTATTCGTCTCCGTAGCGCATATTTAGCATGAAACGGTATACTGGTAGAGCGAAATATAAAGCATAAAATCATCACTTTCGCGGAAGTCAACATCAACTCATCCCACCACCCCCAACAAATACTTTGAAGATTATACTCACTCTGTCCTAGATGTACTCGTTTCATCCATGGATAGATCTGAGGTGGATTCTTTTTGCCATTGCCACTGTTCTGGCTGCTTCCCGCTTCATTGCCGCTGTCGCTCTCCGAATCTGAGTCGCCACCTGGACTATGCAAGGGTACATTCACATTGACGCCACCCCCGCTACCACCAGCATTGTGGTTGCTATTACTGAGCGTAGCGGCAGCCGCGGCCGCTGCTAAGCTGCCGCCCAAGACTCCTTTGTTCAGAGATCGTGCCACACTCTCAACGACCGAGCTGGGTGATAGTTTTGGCGAGATGTCCCGAGTTGAAAGGTCCTGCGGACTAGCCAGCGACTGATTGTTGTTGTTACTGTTAGCACTATTATTATTGTTATTGCTGCCTGGCGTCGACGGATCGTTTGCGTATTTACAACTTATGCTTGCCTGTTGCTGTTGCTGCTGTTGTTGCTGCTGCTGTTGCGGGTGTTGTTGCTGCTGGGCCAGCTGTTGTTGTTGTTGGGCGACAGCGGACGCCGCTGCGTGCTGCGCTGTCGCATGGGCGTGCTGGTGTTGTTGTTGCTGCAGCAGCAGTCGCTGCGGCTGCAGCTGTGTATAGTCAACCATATCGGGATTGGCCTGGCTTCCACTGGTCGCACCAGAGCCCAGGCCATAAGTCGCCTGGTTTGCGTAGTGCGCCTGCGGGGTATTTGGGTACAGGTTTGGAGTGTATGCGGCCGCTGCCGGGAAATAGTCGTTTGCACTCGGTGTGACCGCTCCGGAGGTACCCTGTCCTCCGCTTGTGACCACCGTCCCCGCTCCCCCGTTGCTGTTGCCAGTGTTGGAGCTTGTGCCTGAGTGGCCTTGTTGTGGGTTCATTTGCTGTGGGTAGCATGAGGCTAGTGAGTTAACGAACTGGTATGACGACATGGCGAAGCAATCTGGATCCATTTTGATGCAACCACACTCGGTGTTTTTGATCTCTTTGTTTCTACAACGAGCAAATGGAGGAGCATTAGTTAGCTTGTGCGCACAGTAAAGCAACGATGGTTGCATAGACAGATAAAAAAGATCCCTAGCCCCACCAAAAGATTTAATCTGAGATAAGTATGCATGCATGCTGCGTCCTGAGCGCATTTGTATATTTTCAATTTTATTTACTTTACTTATACTTATATGTATGCAGATTATCGGCTTAAAATTTGCATAAAGTAAATGCTGTTGTTGCCTTTTTCAAATTTTAATGTGTATCTTTAAGTTAAAGGATTTTCTGATTGCAAAGGTAAAATGAAAACGAATAGAACTTTGTACCCAGTTCTAGCGACGCCTGCGACTCGCTGATAGCAGACAGATAATCTCATTCCACTGAGCTCTCTACTAAGCTGAGTTTAAGGGCCTTGACGCTTACAACCAATGAAACCACTGTTCTTATGTACCCATTTGCACAGCTGCTTTATTTTTCCCTTCATATACTATTGTTATAATTTGTTATCATTACGTTAAAACCCGTCAAAGCATCTATTTCCCTGGTTGCATCTTAGATCCAGCCAAACTATTGGAATTTGGATGTGTCTAAGCTTTGGCATTAGGTGCATGTAATTTTGGTACGGCATGGCCAGGAATGTCTGACCCGCCCACTGTTGCTGCTGTACCCTTGTGGAAATTTCGGGCTGCACTTTCCGACTCTGCCATTATAAATATTGCAGACCCCGGCTCGAGTTTGTTTAATAGACGAGTGCTCGGATATTTAAACGAGAAAGCAGACTTTATGCTTAAATGTTGTGCGATTGTAAATAAATAAAAACAAACAGCACGTTTGGTGAAAACGACTGAAGCCCAAAAAGTGAAAAATATGTTGCCAGGAAAGCCAAAGCGAGCCAGCCATATCCACAAACGAAAACACTGCCCAAAAAGCAAATCAATGACCTTTTCCTGGGCTAAATACTATTTAGCTTGCTATACATGCCTATATACTGTATTTGTATGTACTCGTATACACGTATGTATGTATACCGCAATTTTTTAAGTCGAGTGAGCAAGCGAGCGAGAGAGCGAGGTACCAGCACCGTTCCCCACCAGTCCATGAAACCAATAATTTAGATTCAGTGGGCAATTTTACCCTTTAGCATGGTGTTCAAAGAAAGGAGTTGGAAGCTTAAATTAAAACGGCATACGGGTCCAAGCATGAGGCCACGGTTGGTTGGCTTGTGAGCGCTTTCAGGTTCTCAGATAAAAATTTAAAAAAAATAAAAAAAAATCAAAAAGCACACGAAAGCATAGAAGGCAACTAGGAAGCACTCAGCGAGGCGGACGGCATTTAGAGATTTATTTTATGAGGTACGCTATTGAACTGTAGTAAGTTCGATTGTAGCCGAAGGTCTTGCGCATTATCCGATTATAGAGTTTATAGTAATTGTAACGGTGTTCTAGCTGTGACCAATGAAAACAAACAATATGCTATTTTCCATAAATTGCGTTCCTGACTGTAAGTGAGGGGAGTGTGATACTTTTATATTTAACATATTCTTGTATATAACCATCAAAGGCTAAGCCTTGTCGAAAATTGATTTTGTACTCTTACAACTCAATCTCAGGTTAAGTAATTCAGCAGCAGATTCTACAAAAAATTGACAAAACACAACTTGATTTTAAACGTTTTAGTTGCCTGTTTTAAAATTATTTGTTAAAGTCCGTACTTAAAGCATCTATTAATACCAATATATGTGCCAGAAATTGAGCGAAAACTTATTTGCATATAAAAGGACAGTGCGGTGCATTGTGGAGGACAGCATTACAGGTTACACCATGTGGAACGTAGATTCCAGCGTATATACCAGGATATATTTCGATGACTTTCCACTGCTCCTTGATTACCTGATTAAGATATTAATATAAATATAAAATCTGTTTTTCTAAAAGTTTCCCAAAATGCATTTTGAAAATGAAGATCATTTGCAGAGCTTGTTCAATAATGTTTTATAATTACATGGCAAGACGAGCTATTCTAAATAGTTACCGGTATATACGTACATATGTATAGTAATTGATATTATTATACCCTGTACCCAAAGGGTAAATGGGTTTATTCGTTTTGTGCGAATGTATGTAACACACAGAAGGGGGCGTGGCAGACCCCAAAAAGTATTTATATTTTGATCAGGGGTACAATCCGAGTCGCCCGAATAGCCATGTCCGTCTGTCCGTCTCAGAAAGTATAAGGGCTACAATAACCCAAATTGTTTTTCAGATTTTCTTTAGACCGAGAAAGTACGAGCTTTTTTTGTTTTCTAATGCATCCCCCACTCACCAGATATTCACGATTCTCCATAACTCCTGTAATTGTTGGAATTTTGAAAACTGATATTTGGCAAGTACATCTCAATAGTGATTATGTGTCCGTACGTTAAGTTCTATAAAGATAAATGCTATCTCTGCCCGCAGCAGTTGTTGATGCTTTGACTTTTTTCTGTATTGGACATATACGCATATAAACACTCATAGACACGATTCTGATGTAAATGCATGTTGTTGAAACATAAACATACGTCTCCACTTATGTATGTATGTATTGAATATTTTTTATTTTATTTAATTATAGATTAATTTTATTTTTTTTAATTTTTTTTTACTATTTAAATGTTTTTTTCTTTTTTGTGGGAGTGATACAGGGTGTTTCATTGTCGGAAATGTTATGTATGCATTAAGAAATGTTAAACTAAAAAATATTTAAATACATATTAGATTAAGAGAATTTCTGAGCTGGGTACAGAGTACATAAGGGTAGCACGAATGCGGTTCTAGCATTTGACTGATAGACATCGAAAGACTTTGAAAAAGTTGAATGAACGATCAATATTATGTAGAGGCCTGATTTCTATTCGAAATATTGAAAAATCCGATAACTCCTAAAACAAATTTCTTGGTAGCTATATGAACCTTTCTAAGCCATTTATCTCCAGACTAGTTATTAAGGCCGAAGTTACATGTTGCTAATATTTTGTTGAAGTTGCCGACAAATCGGTATTTTTTTCCTATAATTAAATAACACATCTGTATTACTCTTCATCATATACTGGTATGTGAAAACGGTGGAGGAAAGTACATAGCTGCGGGCTATTCAAATTCAAAGATCAATTACTTTGCCACATTTGGCCCAACTTGAAGCCGCTATTTATTTGTCGATCACTTAACGGCACATTTAAAATTCAAATGAAGTTCATAAATTATACTGCTCCTAGAATTGTTTCCAAATAGTTTGGGAGGTCAGGCGACAAGCGGTCCAATTGGTGTTAATTAAGTCCATGAATAATGAAAAAGCAATGCGAATTTTCGTCGCTCCCCAATTTTTGAAGATCCCACAGAAGGGGATGCGAAAAACTTAGGGCATCAATGCTGCAGCCCTGTCCCGAGTGTTCGATTGCCATCTTATGTAAGAGTCATAAATTATTACAATTCCTTCTTCCCGACATCTTGGGTAAACGGGGGAGAAGACAACAAGAAAAAACACCGGTGACTGAGCAGAGCGCGAGTGTTTTTGTGCAGGGCTGTCTATTCATTTCGTTCTCTTTGTATAAATAGTTGTATATGCCCTAAAATGGGAGTGGAATTTCGACGGACTCTTAAACCGCAGAACGAATTTGGTTTCGAATTAGTGTGCAGTAGGACAGGTAAAATAAACTATACAGGCTTTACTGCAATTGAGTTGCACATGCGCATCGTTCCCGACGGCCTCCATAAATCAACAATAGTCGTATGTGACATCTGAAAAGGGTTCTGGGAAAGCAAATGACATTTTCTTGACAAAAAAATGTGTATTTGAATAGTGTAGTAAAGATGATTAAGTTTGTTGTAGCCACTATTTAGGATATCTTCCTAACAAACCGAATCCAATATATAAGTTCCTTATTCGCATTGCACGCATATGAACAGCTGATAAGTTCTAATTAAACTGTAACATCGAACTTTTAAACTATGACTATGCCTGCTACAATACCCATCAATGTGTTTTATAACAAATCTTTATTCCATGGCTATTGATAGCGAACTGTATTCGCTGATGTGCTGGTACCATTACATGGTGGTGTAGGCTTAGGTTGTTATACTTGTACGTATACATATGTCATTTGGCTTATTATTTGAAAAATACAAACTTGTTTACTTGTAATTTTTCCCCATTTTCACTTTCTGAGATCGCAGTTTTCAACAACTCGCAAATGAATCTCTAACACACAGATGAATTGAAAATTCCGTCTGTTTTTATACCCTGTACCCGTAGGGTAAAAAGGGTCCGAGAAAGGTCGAGTTTATTTTATTGTTGATACCCTGTACCCAAAGGGTACAAGTTATATTAGTTTTGTGCGAGTGTACATGTAACACACAGAAGGAGGCATGGCAGACCCCACAAAGTATATATATTCTTGATCAGCATGACAAGCCGAGTCGATATAGCCATGTCCGCCTGTCTGTCCGTCTGTCTGTCCGTCTGTCTGTCCGTCTGTCTGTATGAACGCAAGGAGCCCGAGAAAGGAGTTTGTTCATTTTTCCCGATGCACCCCCCCACTCCCCCCTATTAACGATTTTCTATAACTCCCGTAATTCTTGGAATTTTGAACTAAAATTTGGGTGACACATCCAGTTAGTGATTATATAGTATATCCGTACACCAAGTTTCATTATGATAAGTTGATTAGAAAATTATATCTGGGCCATTTATCGGATCTCCCACTGCACAGATGCTTCTGAGGTCGACAGGAAGTTAGTTTACTGTAAATGCTAAGATCCCTATGTGATATATCGGTTTAATTATGTTTCTTGTACTGAAAAACTGCTCGATAAAGATACATTATAATATATGAAGCAGATTCCCACATTCGTACTGCAGTCAGCTGTCAATCTAGCTGTGGAAGAAAGTATATTTGAAAGTGTTGCGAAGGCCATTGCTGACACTTTCAGAGCTGAGTTTGTCTTACTATATATCTGATTGGTATCGAA